AGTTCCACAGGGGATCTGTTCTCGGACCGCACCTCTTCCTAGCCTTCATTGATGACGTCACACCGCAAGTGGAGTCTTTGCTGCTGCTATACGCGGACGACACGAAGCTGTGGCGCACAATTAACCTCCCCAACGATGCCCACGCACTTCAGACGGACCTCGACCGTCTACATCAGTGGGCCATAGAAAACAACCTTCCATTTAACGCTTCGAAATGTTGCATCCTTTCCACCCGCCCTTCCGCTTTTTCTCCTATATAATACCTTGGAGCGTCTATCCTCCAGATCTCTTCAGCCGAAATAGACTTGGGTATCATTACCCAGACCAGTCTTTCCGTATCCGCTTCTTGCCGGAAAGCAGCAGCTGCTGCTAACCACGTGGTGCGATTGCTGAAACGAGCCTTCGGTCAAATTGACCCCAGCAATTTCTGCCTCCTCCTCAACGCTTTTCTTCGACCCTACTTGAAGCACCTGGTTGCTGAAGGACCAACGTATATTCGAAGCCGCACAATGTCGAGCAACAAAACTGGTCCGAGATCTCAAACACCTAGATTATCCACTACACCTTCACTGTCTGGGCCTCTAATCGCCTAAGTACCGACGTCTACGGGGCGACCTGATCCTTGTATTTTTGATCTTATCCAACCCTGGACATCCCTTTCGCTACCTACTCGCACTGCACCAATTGTGTTCCCACCTACGTGACCACCCACTGAGGCTCACACATCAGCACAGTCGGCTGAACTGCAGACGACACCTATTCGCTTTGCGAATCTGCCGACCGTGAAATGTTCTGCCTACCGAGATAGTCTTGGCACCCCCTGTGGCGGACTTTAAGACACAACTGGACTGTCATCTGGCCGAGTTACATCGCGATATTCCCTAATATAACTACTACTGAATAGAATTTCTTTCCTTCTTTTCTTCTACCTACTTCCTTTCCAAAGCCGTTTCGGAGGGTGTGGTGGGATGTCACAATTTGAGCCGGCGTGCATTCTGTCTAAATGCCGCATAAGCCCGATGAAGATACGGCTAACACGCGAGTCCAACCCGGTATAAGGTTGTTTGGCCTTTCATCAGACCCGACCCGAAATCGTTTTACCCTATGGGTCATGTAAAGCTCGAGCTTTTATTCCCATTAAATACATTGTTCCAATGTTCCTCTGCCTTCATAACGAATACTCTTTTTACGGATTTTCACTACTGAAAATCGCTTTTCATGCTCTTATCCTAGAAGTATTGATGTGAAAATCTGGCCATTTTCAAGTGTTCTACACTTTCACACTCAGTACTCTATCCAATATCATAGCAGCACTGTATAGCAGCTACCGCTAAATCCACGTCTGCTAGTACGACTTTAGGCTAGAACATACGAATAAGTAGTTGTTTCAATACTCTATTTTGCTTTAATTTCCGAATCCTTGTTGCAATCAGTCTTAATTGATTTGCGTCACGGGTTTCTGTATGGTCAATTACAGTCTACACTACAGTCTCACTCAGATGTCCGTGACATTTCCCAGTCAATTTCACCTATAGTACCATCAAATTCCTCTCTAAGTCAGTCCAGATAGTTTATAGCTCACTCCTATTGGATCCAGCATACATGTGTATATATACTCACGCTGGATACAATTTGACTGGGGGATGAACTATATTGAGTAGCGAGAGGAAATGTCTTCATTACTGAGGGATTTGACGGCAATATGGATGCAATGTCTAGCTTGCACTGCGGGCTATCTTTGCCTAGTTGCATGAAGCATCAAAAGACGTACTTGTGAGCAGTTTAGATATAAGTTTAACTTCGAGACCTTTGTTTCTGAAAGCCTGAAGGTTTTCCTGGTCAGCGTGTATGTCTGTGCGGCGTTCCGATTCGCACGCCAGCTTGTTAAAACTAGGTCAACATCTCCACTCGATAACTTGGAAGATGATTGAAACCGATCCTGGAGTTATCATTTGAGTACACTAATTGATTGTTTCCAAGCCGTTCTGTGAACACGGCAATGAAATCTGTTGGTCTGTTCCATCTGTAGCACACCACATTCCCTTACAGGACCATGGGGCAGAATGCCAAACGTACTATAGACTACATTCACGACATACGAGAGTTTGCCCACACTTAGCCACTATAAATACCACCTTAGTAATAGATGCGGATAAAAGGTTCTTATATAGGTCAACAATCAACGCTTGAGAACGTTCAACCAACGAGAACTGATCAACTTTTCCAAACATTGCATCTCTTGTGAAAAGTACTAATACACCTCATACTTATCTCTGTAGTCCACCGTTTTCACGTGCTCAGATTTATACTTATAACGGCTTCCATCATCACTCGTATTGAATTGCACGCTATGCGTGTATCCACTCACGGAATCCCACTGAGGAAAGTACACGAAATGCGAATCTCACATCACAGGGTTCAACACAGCGGAGTCGCAAACAAAAGGTTTGGAGCCGCATAATCTCTCAGCACTGAAAGCTCGGAAATTGGAGTAAGTGGTGTGGTAAAATGTTGCAACGGGTCTTCTCGTACCTTTCATTTGTCTACGGATATTAGCCGAATGCCTGCTTGTTGGCACACACATCTCTGCTTCATCAATGTCATAGGTGGCCGAAAGAATATGGTGCCTGTCTTGTAATCCGACGATCGCAGGTTCGAATCCGTGTGGTGCCGGCGGCCTCACGATGAGTTCAGCCGTCGCGTGACTGCTGGTGATCCCGTGGCAACGAAGCGTCCGTACAGTGTCCGCTTACTGTCGATACCACTTTCTCGCTCGCCCGTCAAGGCCACTAGTTCGAGTCTTTGATGAACATAAACCAGTGGTGCACAATCACCATTCGTCAACACCCGAGGGAATCACATAATTGTACCATTAAACAGACAAGTGAAGTCACGTGCATTTCAGTGGACAGGGTCCGACAAGCTGTACGCTTGGTTTCGGTAAGTTGGTTGTCCGTGGGTGAAAATAAATATTGCACGAGTTGATTCGCTGTGTTATGTTAGTTATTGGCATTACATACGCCCGCCGCCCGTGCACAATCGTGCAACCGCACGATACACACATTAGGTTCCAGTCCGCTTTTCAAGGAGCTGGATTCTGCAATTTGCATCTCGGCTCGAAATTCCCTTCATCGCTATCTAGGGGCATATTTTATATGTGAGCTAGTTCGTCATGTTGCCGGAAATGTAGCTGATTCCTACTTAATCCAGTTAAATTGCATTCAAAGCAATCTTCTAACTCTGTCAACAAAGTATGACAATTAAGAATGACTGAAAGCCCTTCGCTTCCGTGTTTGGAATACACCCACAAGCTTTAGGTTGCCATCAAACCCAGATGACGGCAAAAATTCGCTTACTAATGGCGGGGTCAATCTGTCGCATGTTCCGTCTGCGGTATTGCTGCATGCTCAGCCTAATTCGAGAAAGCAGTTATCCTATTGCACCAACCCTTGAGTCCAGTGCTTCTGAAGTTTCAGGTCACCACCGAAATTGACAATAATGCAACACCTATACAAGTTGTCCATGCGTGTACACCACGTTTGCCCGGAGAATTAGGTAACACTGGTACCGTCAATCCTCTTACGAATGCGACATTTATAATGGGCAGTTCGAGTTACGCAGAGTTTATCTGCCCATTCATACGAGAGAGAAAATACTCGCGTACTCGTCCGAGAAACTAGCCATTTATCAACGTATCGTTAGTATAGCAAACGATGCGCAACGGTCTTGCTTCAAGAACCAGGAGAATCTTAACAATCGACTACAAACAAACATACCACACCACACCAGTTGGGTACCGCAAACCGGCATCTGTGCAATAGCTCATCACGTCTTCACTGTTATGCAACGCTCCTCATGTAAATATTATGGACCATATCACCAGGTATCCACGTAATCCACTAGACTTGATTCTCAAAACTTGTTCACAGGTGGTACGTCTACTGACATCACGGTCTAAACTATGTCTGGTACCCCACACGGTCTGAGATGGCCGCTAATCGACACCTCCGATGGACTAAGTGAAAAGTAATTATTTTTTGCGAACACTACCGGTTTGCTCCTCGGAGAACAGAAACATTTCCCTGTATTGTTAGTACTACCAATTTTCAGTCCTTCGTGTCAAATGTTCCACGGTTTATGCAAGTTGTCTTTATGTACCAGCCCCCTAGCTAGAAACACGACACAAAGAAGCACCGTGGAAACACCGAACAGTCCAACATAAAAGAGCCTGGAGACGAAGTAATAACCCAATATTTCTGTACGTACGCGTTTTCGGACAATACGCATGTACAAATTCGCCGTTTGGTCACTGTCTAGTGCATGCAATCACTGTCTCAAATGAACTATCTGGAGAGTTCGGTTTATATGTCACCAAAACCTTCTTGAGAAGAAGAATACTGAATGAAGTTTCCGAAAAATGTTTGTGTGTAAACGTTCAACAAGCTCTTAAGTTACATTATTCTCAACTACCTCGCTAGACCAGATTCCAAATAGGTTGGAAGATTTCGTCTGTACAAAATTGCGGAACCTGATGCCAACACTTGGCGCCCGTTCAGACGTCACCAACTGCAAACCATATGGTCTTGCCCAACCTGACCACATCGAAAAATTTCTAACGATAGACGAAGCGTTGTGGTTCATTATGATAGTCATATATACAGTAAAATCTCCCTAAGTGAACCACTCATGTACAGTACCAGTAGTCAACCTACAAAGGTCCGGACCTAAAAGGTTTATATGGAGAACGTCCAAGCGACGAAAAATAAAACGAACCACTTAGAGAGGTGGTCAGGATTTAGCGGTGGTCAGCTTCGGAAGTTTAATTGTAGTTATAGCTTCAACATATTAAAGTGCTCCACAACAGAGGAGAGCATTTCAATGAAGGTATATAGTAAGCAGACGTGAAAACTACGTATGCCGCAGTCAACTGTAACTGATACCAGTAAGCGGACATAGCTTACAGAAAAGCAGATGTCAATTGAACAAAATCGTCTACTTACGATTTCGCCGTCAGGCCTGTTCGGTCCACCGTTCGCCACACCATCGAAGCCGTTCAATCGCACTCTGTTCCCAGGGTCCGAAGGGGTAGTATCTCCGGGTTTTACGAACATCCCAATAGCAGTAACCGGCATTAGGTAGTAACCGCAGGTGATGCGACGCTGAACAGGTGGCAAATTTATCTAGTATTGCCAGTCTGCTTCTTGTACCTCATTGGCTGAAATTTCATTCGTTTTCTGTGTCCTTGACATGTCTGCCCGATGCAAGAAGGCGATCTGTTCTACTTAGAAGTCACATAAGTACACACACACACACACACACACACAACAACACACACGTGATTACAGACACATCATTGAGGTCGCGCCCTTCGCCTTCACTACAGGACAGCATAGCACTGTCTATGGTGCCATAAGCAAATGGTGGGACCAGCGTTATTTGATATCTTATAGCCAGGGGTTCTAACGGCTTGGTTCAAATCGGGCATTTCAGTATTGTCACAAAACTAGCTACTCGGACAGTATCGCCAGCTGGCAGCTGTAGGTTCACACTCGTATAACATGAGCACAATGAGCGGAAAAAAGCAAAGGATGAAAAAATAGCCGGGACGATGGATAAGTGTAATGGACACGGTAGGAGCCAAACTGTTGCTCACTGTTGTGTCGAAGCCACAGTAGGTACATATATTCCTGTGGGATGTATTGGTTCTAAGGTAATTATTATGCAATCTAATGCTAGGACGCATGGAATGAAACTAGCATACATCGGGCTACAACACGATCAACCCTCCGTTGTACATTCCGCACTATGGTTCCTCAGCCGTGTGCTGAAGAATTGTGAAAACACGGAAGTGCT